GATTATGATTTTGCATTGATACCAGAAGCCGACGATTCGTAATGTAGTTGCAGTAATTTTATAAATAAACATTCATATTATGATTGTAAACCTATATCTCATTCTTATCAGTGTAGCATTTTTGAAACTGAAAAAATAGTTTAGAATATGTATACATAAATAAGAGAATAAAAACAAAACTGATCAAGTCATCTATAATACGAGCTTGTAAAAATTGAATTATATCACAATCATATAGATAGTTTTTTATTGTCATCGATCAAGCTACAATATTTTCAACTTGAAGATTTCAACAATAATACATTGTGGTTGCTTTTATTGTGCCGCAAAAACAGTCAATGAAGTATTAATGAAAAAATATGAGACCACAAGTAGAATAATAATTTCAATAGTAATTATTAATTAACTATGAATGTTCTGTCATTTTTACCTCTGTTGGATGTTTGAGAATTGGACACGTTTTGTAAATCATGTAAGTTACATATAAATATCAATTGCAGATTCTACATTTGCATGAATACTTAGGTCTGTACCTTAAGGAAAACTAGATTAGGGAGTAGTGAAGTTAAAAAGAAACGGCGATATCAATTACGGAACCAAAATTAATATTTTTCACAAAAATTGAATGAGAACTATAGTTATCGGCCAAGTAAAAATCCTAGAGTTTAGATGAACCAAGAAAAACAAACAGATACACATAATATATTAAAAGCGTAAACCTGAAGTTCAATAATAAAGAATAATAAGTGCTTAGTGCTTAATAATAATATAAGAATATTGGTCATATTTAACGAAAATATTTGGAATTAAAATATGTTAATATTTTGCACTTTTCATTACTAAAGAAATCAGTTTAATTAAAATATATCATGACTACATAATCTAAAATATATATAAATGAAAACATGTTGAAAATAAGTTTTGTAGATTCTTAGCAAGACGTACAATGAATAGCTTACAATGAAGTTATAGAATATTTTTTCTGTGATCAATATATTTTATTTTTCGAGGAGTCAGCTTAAAAAGTTTTTAGTAAACAATGTTTCCATTTTTTCCCCTTAAATTATCCACATCGCAACCAGTACCGAAAATTATATTTGTCGTTTATTATGTGGACAAATGTCACCGAATCGATGTGTGTTTTACACGATAATGATATATATCGTATCATAGCGTCGCAGACGAGCACATTAATAGTACAATAATGATTTGTCGACTGCCCTGCAATTCGGGTATATCAAATGGGACTTCCGCTGTATGTGCGCGCGCACATCATATTATATGAGCCATACTACACTGCACACAAGTTTTGCCCACGCCAAAAAGCTAGTCCACACGTGGCTGAACTATTATAAAACAACTATTTAACATAATATAATAACTATAATAATAATAATAATAATAATAATAATAATAATAAGTGTGTAGGTCAGCTACGAGGCGTCCGCTTAAGTTAATTATTATGTGTTATTTTAAAGGAGGGACGTGCGACCAATATACATGCCACAGCTTCTACTGCATTTCTAAAACATTTTAATTTTCATCATTGTTGTTATTACTATTATTATTAATATTATTTATTACTATTTGTTAATACATTATTACTGATACTAATGATAATAATAATAATCGGTGGAAACCACACAGTCGTAAAACATTTTCATACTGTTAACCGTAACATATATTCCTTGACCACACAATATAACATTGTTGTACGTGTACGTTATAATATAATAAACGATATAATAATACGAGACACGTTTATTGTCCACTGAATTACTCCCGTCACCAAAATACCAAAATACCAAAAATAAACATGTACGTATTACCTACTTAATATATTGTGAATTCTCTATAGAAACTACCACCAGAAAAACTGGTTATGTAAATTGGTTCTTTTAAAGCCATTATAGATTCAATTAGATATAAGATTATACTTTGATATTTAGACTTTTTAAACGCCGATAATATAAGTCTAATAAGAAATAAAAAAAAAACTTGAACAAATTGAACTTTCTGAAACTTTAGAAATTTGAACATTATTCATTATTTTGAATTTAAACTGCAGATGCATGCAAATTTTAATATGAAACACAGTAACGAAATATATAATAAAAGAAATTATGTATAAGAATAAAATTGAGCTACTTACTCGAATTAGCAAATTAGGTATTATGTTTTATATAAGTAAATAAACAGAGAGTAAATTATGTTGATTTAAACAAACACTACAAACAGGCAATTATAAGTTATAAGTTATAACTATACAATTTAACAGAAAAACGTTTTACCAAGAACAAACACAGTAAAATAGCGTACAGTATATGATTATAATAAGCATAACATTTATCTTGAACCTCGACAGATTACTACGAACTATTAAATTAAAAGTACCTAGACATGAATTGTGGAAGTAAAATAATTTACGATAAAATTTGGCAGTAAAAATAAAAGAACAATGTTTCAGACATATTATAAGTATGGGTAATTATTATTTTACAAGACGACAAGTATCATGCATTGAAAATTAATATTTACCATGCGAAAATATGACGTAAGTGGAAAATAAGACGCCTTATAACGGAGACTATAGATTTCTAATGTGATAATAATTATAAAGAAAATATTATTTTCTTAATATTAATAATAATATAATAAAGAATAGGGGTTCTCTTTTATAGGTATTTATCTAGAACCTTTTCAGTTTTCGAGTATGTACTATAGTCTGGAGCAAGGACTATGTCCATTGTTACACAAATCCGGCTCGTATTTTTATATAATAATACAGTTTTTCGAAAAGCTACGTTTTGAAAATAATGTTATAAATCAGTAAATTTTATTATAATATTTGCACGGCGTAGTAAAATATGATAGAACAGCTGCAGTACACTATGACAACTATACACAGAGTGATTTTTTACCACTATACAGACATTTTCTCGGTAAATTAATCTAGACACGCGGTAGCGTGTCAAGCCAAGTTCAAGCTAACAGAACTGGCGAGCAGCACCGTGTGTAATATTACACGAACCATTTGGAGCCACTTTTGACCCCCTCATAACTCAAAAACTATTCCACATAAACATGTCAAATTTGGCTCATATATTGAGACTAACGAGATACATATGTGCTCTAAATTTCATAAACACACTTCAAACCGTTATTTAGATATTAACGTCCGAAAATCGTCATTTTTATCACTGACCTACCTATAGATCAAAATTCTAACCCAGTTCCAGATGACCTAGAAAGTTCAAATTTGGCATACAGATAGGTAGTTAGGTAAATACAAAGGAAAAAATCAGAAACTTGAAAATTTTTAATTTTTAATTTTTTAATTTTTAATTTTTAATCAATTGATTTTATTATAATTTTGCAATTATTTTATCTATTATGTTTAATTTTTCAATTTATTAATGAATTGCCTCTAATTTAATGTAATGTTGACTTAAATAACCTTTCCCGTATCGCCGGTCCAAAAATACGACTAGCCGAATATGTGTCGATATTGTCGACCCGTGCGCAGCAACATACTTTTTTTCTATCTATGTATAATATTATTTTTTTTAAATATTACAATTAAAATAATTAAAAAATTATTCTTACAAATTATGAATTATCCACCCAACAGTAGAAACTACAGTCAATAAAATTATGATAATTAAAAATATACTCAAAAAGAGTTAAAATAATTGTATATTAATTTTACATATATTTTATACTCGTATACTCGTATGTAAAACGGAAAGTATTTTATAATAAATATTATTATTAATATTAGTAGGTAACTGAATTATATTATATAGTAATAAACTTTATTTATAGAATACGTCATGGATAGGTTAGGTTAGGTTATAATAATTTACATACAAAAAGTAATGATATCCTACCAAAAACATATATGTAAAATGAGAGCCAAGTTCAATACTATAATATATGCCTTGGTTGTTGACTTCAACGACAAAAGAAGTGAGATCTAAATGGGTGCCAAGTTAGGATAATATATTGAAGCCTAAGGTCTGACTTGGCTACGAATTATATATTATAGCATTTGCAAGTTCTAAAGCTTTGAGTTCTTATTTTATTCTTCGGAAAATCATCTTCACTCTTCCATTACTGTTTTAGTAGGTACTTATAATAATAATTCGTATATGAAAAGTAGCCAAGTCACACCTTAGGCTTCAATATATTATCCTAACTTGGCACCCATTTAGATCTCACTTCTTTTGTCGTTGAAGTCAACAACCAAGGCATATATTATAGTATTGAACTTGGCTCTCATTTTACATATATGTTTTTGGTAGGATATATATTTTCACAAACCCACCTAATTTAAAAAATATATACTAATGTACGTACTATTTGTATAGTATACTTATATAGTTAAATATATATAGATACCAGGTTATAAGCACAATATAATATTATATTCACCAATTACGTGTCAATAAATTAGTAAAAATGAATACCTAACACACAAGAATATTAACTAACAATTGATCACATAGAAAGGCAGCGTCCCTTGCTAGTTAAGCAATTATTTATTGATTATAATTGTTACCTAAATAGGCAGATCTATATTTTAACATTTTTTTGTTTATTGAAGTATTTATGAGAATGGACGAGAGTGACATAAAAAACATAAATTTCGACAAGAACGAATTCATTACCATATTATATTGTACTTTTCCGAAGTCAATGAACTGTATAGTATTATGTATGAAAAAGTGTATTATATTCCGACCGGAAATCCAGCAGCAGATTACGGTACCAAAACAGCGAATATGTACCTATATAGATAATACTCCGTATTGAGGTTCTAAAGCTCCGGTTTAAAAGGCTTGTATTATGACATGAATACATGCACACATAACATACATATGCTAAAAATAAGATATATGGGAAGTCGTAGATATTTTGCAGGGAAGGAAGTTCAGGGGTTAAACATATGAATTTTGTATTAGCCGACCCGTCGGAATCAAATAAAATGCGAGCATTACCTGTTTCTTGAGTATGATGTGCTTTCCCTTCCAATATTTCATCATGCCGAGGGCTTGGAGCGTGCTGACTATATCATAGGAGTTGATGGCCAGCTCTTGACTCATGTCTGGAATTCAAAATTTTAAATTACGTTAACCGATTGTTTACAATATATTTCCCACGTGATTCTGTCAATGCCCGGGCGTACAGTATATTGTTATATATTGTAGTCTATTGCAACGGTCCCTGTCTTATACATAAATATAATATTATATAAATTATACACAATACGCACGGCTATCTAAATAGCATAATATAGAGCATTACGGTGTTACTCTGCACCACGAAATTGCCTGGAATTTGATATAGAAAGAATATTATAATAAATGATAATATGTAAGGTCGGCACTAACACGCTGGATAGGATTACAAACGTTTTCAATCGTGAGCGCCAAGATATCCAAAAAAAAACATTGGGTGCTCTAGGCGAAAAGCCCCAACCCTCTCATTAAAACAATAGTGTGTAAAGGCTGCAGTAATATCACTATATCAGTAATATGGCCACTTACATAAAACACAAATTACACTTATTCACTTATTATACTTACACAAAATTATTTTGCAGTACGGCCATAACATTTACCACAGAAGTCTGTTATTCTTAGTTTTAGTAGAGAAAGAACATCAGTAATTAATAGTTAAACAAAATGATAGGATCAGTTAATACTGTATCAAAAAACCCTGATAATATGTAGTTCAGATAAATCTAATTAATTATCATCGACAATACCAAACATACTAATACTTGCGCTCTATACATGAATTTCCTGTGGTTTCATCGATGATACTATCCATACATTTATTTGTTAGATAAAATACTTTTTTGAATATATATTTTTTTATATGAAAAAAAAATATTAATTATTTACAAAATTGAATTTCAATTTTTATGGAGTGCTCACCTGGGCACCCATGATTACATTGGTATACGATCTATTGTCATATAATATAAATTTATGTGAATACAATTTTAACATTAAATAGAGTCTTGTATATAAATATACCAGCTTGTGCAGTATATATAAAGGCTGTAGTTTACGATCGGACGACCCTCAAATGTATTTAATTCAAATTAAACGTCGTTTGATGGTTCGAGTATATCTGCAGTCTACAGTTTAAGGGATATACTATAAACACATTACGTTCAAGGAATTACATAATTAATTGATAATGAGGAAAATACACATTGTCATATACGTACACGAAATATACTGTAAACAATATTATAGTACACGACATTGTGTATTCGAGGGTACATCCGACGAAGCAAATAAGTAATTTAGACCGGTGATACCCGATTGAGCACGGTCGTTATCGGCCGACCTTTTAGACGACCCGATTGAGCACGATAAAAAAAAAATATATTGTGTACAACGTTGTCAGATTTTCACTAGTACCTACGTATGTTGTGTAGATATTACCAATAGGTAATTACTAACATATTAGTCGAAAACGATTTTGCTATCGATCGATGGGTAGGTATACCCACGGAAGTTGAAAATAACTGGGATAGATAGGAAACCAGAATTTTATCTACAACGATTGCACTAATTTGTGATTAACTGTTATTGTATGTACCTATGCTGTAAATAAGACTTGGTCACAATCAGTCTATGGCGCCTCGTGCTCGTAGTGCGGTAGTGTGCAAATTTTACGATGGAAAAAAATGAAATAAAAATTATTTTATCCGAGAGAGGTAAAAAGTTGGCAAATGTTGGAGCTTATAAAGGCTTATCAGGAGTACTCTGAATTAAAAAATGTTGATAACCTACTTAAATACTTATTTAAAATTGTAAGTAAGTATTTAGGGAAAAAAATTTAAATTTTTATTTTTTAATTCATTTTGATTGATATTTTTCAACATTTTTTTATATTATATATTTTTATATTCAATATTTAGCGGAATAAATTGTAATTGTAATATAATATAATAAACTAACTGACGTACATATGTAATAATATGTGATTAAAATCCAATAAAATATTTTTATTTATAAACATTTACATTCAAATGTATCTTATTTTTTAAAAATAATATTCTACGATACACAATGGCAACGTCGCGTCGCACCTATTTTCGTGCTCAATCGTGTTGTTTTTGGATTTTTTTTGGGTTCCTATTGTTTGATTCCAACCATGCTCAATCGGGTTGTGAAAAAGGTCAATCGTGCTCAGTCGGGTTCCAGCCATTTAGACATACGACATATACATATACGCACTGTTTTTCACAGCATAATGCAAAGCGGAAACAATGGTGTGTGCACGTCGAAGAAGAAGTCAGGGTTGGTTGCGAAGGTTGATAAATGAACGAAAATTGCCTGTGGATGAAATCTTAAGGGTTCAAATTGCACGGACGTTATCTTTAAGACGTGGCGAAGACAAGTTGATTTTTATTTTTCGTACTCATTATCGGCCCCGGAGTAATTAAAAAAAAAAAAAAAATATCTCGGTTGAGAATATATCATTCTTAAGCTTATACATGGTTTTATACGAGTCTATAGGGATTACAATTTTTAATGATGGGAATATTTCCATTGAATATACAATGTATAATATTATATGTAACATTATGTCATTATTTATTAAATAATATATAATAATTAGAAAATTATCCTTCGGAAATAATTATTAAATGCATTTTTGTGTTTTTGTAAACGTATATACCTATATTGCTGTTTCTTAAGAATTCTAATGAAATGTATTAATTATAAAGTTAAAATAAAAAAGTACTGTTACACAATAGTTGAATGAAAGAATACATAAATAAATAAAGAGCTTGATAATACGAATATAAACAATAAAAGATGTAATTCAAAATCTTAAAACTGAAATACGAAGAGTGCACGCTTAAAAAGTATAAAATTAACTTTTATGTGTATTGAAGTACAACTTCGCTATTAAAACAAAATAAATAAGTATAATTTTAATAAGCTGTTGCAGTAGTATTTAAAATTGGGGGGTCGAAAGTTCGTGTATTTGTATGTTTATAATAATTAACGGTTATAAAAAAGAAAAAAGATCTATTCATTGGTTTTATTAAAATACCAACGGAAAAGCCTTTTTGCAGTGTAACAACAAGATATGAGAGGGGTTGAATAAAATTCAGTCAAATAGCTATACATTTGTGTGTCATATAATTATTTAATTTGCATTTTTAGTTTTTACTATAGCTTATATATTGTTTTAAATTATTTTATTTATATTTTTTTGTATATTATGGACGGAGTGATGAATGTATTGCATGTTTTAAAATGATGTGTGTGTGTCTTTTTTTGGCGTTAAAACAAATCATATTAGTGCGGTCATAAGAAATTCCCATGCAATACAGAATTGCTGTACTATAGCCACTATTTACAAGACATTCAGAAAACACGAAAAAATTATGAAAAACGGGAATACGCAAAACCAGTTATTGAAAAAAATACGATTTTGTTTTTTTGTTGTAATTCAAAAACAAATAATCCTAGCAGAATATTTTCTACTTGAAATTGTTACCAAATATATTTATAGAAGCATTTTTTACTCTAGATTTTAAAAATATTTTCCCTCTTTTTGAGCTATTTATAGAAATAAAAATTAATAAAAATTTAAAATGTTGATGAAATAAGTCGATATTGACAGTTAGGTATTTTGTAGTCATAAAGGATGACGGACCATCTACGCTCAGAGTAATTTTTCATAATAAAAATAATGAATTTTATCATTAAATCCAAATTTATAACACCCATTACAGTCACCTACTTAACACTATAATTATATACCACAGCGACTTTATCGGTTATTAGTATTATTATTGTTAAAATTATATTATTTGAGTGAAATTTTCACCAAATTTAAACATTTTCAATATGCAATTTTCGAGGTTGTGAAATAAGTGGTTAAAGAAAAATCCCCTCTGGAAATGATCCGAAAAGTTGATCATACTATTACGTTAACATGGGTCTCGGCGTAAGTATATGTTTTTTGGGAGATGTTTCGTATAAAGTTTTATACTTTAAGTTGAACATTTAAAGGTCGTTTAAACTGGAGGGGGATTTTTAGGATGAACGCGAGACTAACTATAAAGTTGTAGTGGGATCCGACATTTTCAAATCGTCTGTACGGGCAATAAACTATAAGAACTCCTAATTGGATCAATCCAAAAAAAAATTCAATCTAAAATATCTTATTTCTAAAAATGTTTTAAAATAAACCCTTAATATTTAATCTATGTCTTCTCGGTGATATACATATAGTAAAATTATCACATTATTATTCATGTAGATAAATTAGAGTGGAAGAACTAAAATTTTCGAAAGAACATAAATACATGTTTACGACAGGTCTTACATTTGTATGTTCAAAGTACCTAGAGCGTTTTCACATTTATTGAGACACTGAAAAATTAGATAAATATTCTAAGCTAATTAGGTTAATAAATATAGTATGTTTTTTTCTCCAAAAGTAGACAACAACAATAAATACACAATATTGTTTAAACAGTAATGGTTTTTTTGTTTTGCCAAAGCAAACATTGGAATTTGGAGTTTTAGCAAAAACAAGACGTCATATGCTTTAATAATTTACAAATCCTTCACGTAATACATTTGTACTTTTATAATAGAATTCGTACAATGCTAAAACTATATAGTTCAAAGTATAGAACTTGCGTTGACAGTAAGGTAATTGCTTTATACTTGTAAAATAATCAAGAAACTTTGATAGTTTAAAACGTAATACTGACAATACCGTATGTTTTATTCATTTAATAATAATTGTATTTCGCTAGAGGCTTATTGGAAGTAGTAAGTACACAATACACATGTAAAATCCGTGATGTGAGTTTTCTCTAAATTAGAGTGCTAAAATTATAAACTTGTCACAAACAATCTTTACCGATAAATGTTTCTGAATAAACAGTACACTTGCAAAGGATGGCTAATTGTGAAAGGATGATTATTTATAGGACAGAACGGTAAAGGTGTAGTGTAGACACATTATAATTGTTAACTTCAAACATATTATAACAAATAAATTACATAACTATATTAAGAGGACGTCATACCCACATGTGGTGTCTCCGTCTTATAATGTTAATGTACAACATACCAAAAACTGTTTTGCGTGGGACAACTTTACTCCCTCTGTATTTATAGTAGAATTACCAAAATTTCATAGGGATAAACTTAATTACTTCGTAGGTCTTTCACTTTTTAGATAGTACTAATCAATCAATTTTAGTAATTAAACAAAAAAAAAAACCACCAAAAAATAATGTTCTCACACTGATAACTTCAATTGTATTTACGTTATCCAAGTAATAAAAAACACTACGACACAGATAAAATTCTTTCCTAAGCGTTGTGGAATTTTTGTAATTTTACTATAAATTCAGAGGGAGTAAAATTGTCCAGCGCAAACAGTTTATGCCATGTTGTACATTTGTAAGACGGAGACAACACCTGTGAGTGTGACGTCCTTTTAAACAATATGATAATATATAACAGTATATTGACTGCGAACACGTTATATTTTTGAATAATCAGAGCGGGTATTGAATGATTGTGCGTCACTTAACGATTAAATAATGTATATTAAATATTTTGTACTTTCACATAAAGAACGGCGTTGAAATTATTATTAAAATATAGTAGATACATTTTCGAACCCAGACGAGTAATAATTCGTCTATCTGGTAGGGCTTAGGGCTAACTACGACCCGTTTTGATGTAATATATCCACGGAAACGAGCGCGTATAATATAATACTAGGTACTATATGCTTTGGAGTTTGGAATTAAACGTAAAAGTGTACCGAAGTATTTCAATCGAACGATTTTTCTGACTCGATGGACGTATTGCGTATTTATGTGTGCGTATTGTGTTTGTACGGCCCATTGGCAATAGATCGATGCGGCGGCATACGATTTTCATCCGCTCTCGAGGGGTAAAACAAAAAATAATAATAATACCCCCGACCCGATTTTCCGACGAGTCCGGGACACGTAACAACGGTACACACACAAAATAATAATAAAAATAAATCGCAAGTCCGTGGCCCGGTTTTCTTCCGACCGTCGTCACGCGCACGTCCGTCCGCATCGCGCGGCCGTATACAGTTGTACATTGTCGCAGGTTATGTCCAATGCACGCACACAATATAATATAATGTAAGCTCGGGGTCAGTGATCCCTCTGTATATATATATATATATATTATACGTCGTATATATCCACAAACCGTGAGAAGTGGATGAGAGGAGGAGAGGGGCGGGGGAAGGGCTTATTCGAAACTGTAATAATCGCGTTTTACGACGCTGTATAAAACTTATTATACCGCGTGCGCAGGTTTTTACGACGAGCCGAAGTGCACAGTGCGTACACACGGTTCTTAGTATATAATATACAGGAGGGTATACGCATTGTGTGCACGCGTACCTATATATATATTATATATGGGGTAGGTGGTGGTGTGTATACGACTCACCAATGAGTTTTACACCCCGGTGATAATAATATCGGCGTCGAAGGATGGCGGTGCGTGGGCGGAGGTCTGGGGCGAAAAGGGTTATAAAACGCGGGTACTTGTTATATACCTATATAAAATATATATATAAATAGGACGAGGGCATAGCGTCGTTTTGCATGCGCGCACGTGCCAGCACACACACAGGCACAGATATACACGTACAAGGGATCGTCGATAAAACCCGTCCGGAGGAGAGAGAGATGGCAGTATAAATATAATATATAATACGCATTTGGATGCAGGGACCACTAACCTGACGACGACGATTTATTATAACAGTTTTTAGTAATAACTAATTACACATAGCGCGGATCTCGAGATCGACGTAAACGACTATATGATAATAATACAGTAGTCACTCAATAATTCGAAATTCAGGGGATCGAGTTAAAAATTCTATTTATGGAGATTTTCGATTTACCCGCGAGTGTTCGAATAATCGAGGGAAAACATATTAATTCGAATTAAAGCGGGGTGAAAAATTGTATGTATAATATATTGCATATTAAAGTTTACATTAGGTAGAGGTAATGGTACGATAACATTTCTAAGCTATACGATAATATTTAACCACCGTCGTTATTAGTTTCATAACGAGTACGTCAAATAGATTGTATATAAACTTTATATGTATACAAACGTATGAACTTACATACCTAATCACGTTTAAGGGAATTCGAGTTATAGAGGTAAGTGGCAAAAAATTCGAATTGTAGAGTGAGTCCCACCGACAGACATTTCGAATTATCGTGGGGATCGGAATACAAGTATTTTCTTCTAATTATATAGAGGTTTTCTCAGGGGACTCAGCGTTTAGTTCGATTTATGGAGTTTTTCGAATTATCGAGTGACTACTGTATGTGTAACAATAATAATATTAATAATATTCACCTTTTATGGACAGTTGCTTTCCGCCTAAGTCGCAAAGGTACTGCAGCAGCACGTCTTTCCAGTAGCTTCTGTATGATATCAGACCCAAGTCTGACAAAGGTTTTTCGGGCGAACCGACTTTTCCTTCAACTCTAGTCAGCAGGTAACCTGCGCACGAAAAAAAAAATTTTAAATACTTTCCAACGATTAATGGAAATTAATGACACATCGTTACAAATATGTCAAATGAATATTATAATTTATTTATAACATTTTAATTATTTATTCAACGACGATTATTATCATATCCCACTAAACGCATTGATATAACAATAACGACATTGAATTCCATATTTTAATATACAACAATCGCAGAGGGTAGAGCTTCTCTTAAATTGTTTAATGTTTTGAGAGTATCTATTATAATTATTTTTATTAGAACGGAGGGACGGAACGTTTTATTTTGTTAAAATAATATTTTAACTGTGTAATTATTATTTCATACAATTTTAACCAATTCTTCAATAAGATATTACAATTTTATTTAATGATTTTATTTTTATGATTATTGATAACGCGGACTAAGATATAGTAGTATAATATCTTAGTCCGTGGTTAAAGTCTTTTATCTATTTATCATTATTACAATTTACTACAATTTATTTAATTACCCAATTAGTTAGAAATTTTAGAATATACTTTTATATAACCATTAATTTTTATGTTGATAGATCACAAGTAAAATAATATTTTTTATAATTGATGGTAAATGGTAGTATAGTATTGGTATATTTTGTTTCACCTACCTAGTGTTGAAGATGGATGGTTGGGGAGGGGTGGTGTAAAGGGTCATAGCCCTTCCCCATGAGCCCGGTTGAATTCAATCATTGTAAGAAATGCAAATTTTTTCATGATTGGGAGTCACCTTTCTTTTATTTTTCTAATTGGAGCACTGGGTTTTATTTATTTAATGTGGGATGTAAGCCCGTGTTCGTCTACGTCAGTAACTTTATTTCAAATTAATGTAATAATGAGATATGACTTCGTAAAGTTATTACAGCATTTATCATTATAATTTATAAAACATTTTTTGTTTGACATGAACTCAAAACGGAAAAACAAACTTACAACAATGTTTTTATACTTCTGAAAAATCTAAGAGCCAATAATTTATATACCTATAGTGGCTAGTAATAATTTATGTGAATACTTATTTTAAAAATTAAATTATTGATTTACATTAAAACTGAAAATAATAATGTAAAATTTTTGAAGTGTACTAAAAACCATATTTTAAAATACTTAAGTATATGTTTTTATATCATTCAAGTAATATGTCCTGTGGAGATACTATTTTATTATTTTTCAAATGAAAATTATCGTTATTTAATGTAGGTACCTATATTATTCAGCAGATGAATATTAGATTCTGAGTGATACGATGAATGTATTGATTTTACAATGATGTGTGTTTTTTTTTTTATTTTTTTTTTTTTTTTGGTGTCTGTCATCACGTTTTAGGACAGTAAAAATGATTAGATTTTCTTCAACAGTATCTTTTCTGATAGGAAAGTGAATCTAGTTGGTACTTTGGGAGGTCAATAGTAAAAATTTCTCAGTAGTTTTCAAAAGCGCCGAAAAAAAACAAAAGAAAAATTAAGGAAAAACTGGAATTTTTACACAAAATCTGTTTTCGAAAAACTCGATTTTGGTTATTGGTGTAACTCTTAAACAAATTACCGTAGGTACATGAAATTTTGACTGAATGTTTATATTAGCATTTTCTATACAGCATAACGTTTTCCAAATATTTTGACACGGCCATTTTCAGTTTCTATTTTTTTAAATTTTTTTTTTTTCTATAAATATCAATCAAATTTTAATTGTTGGTTAAAAAAGCTTAACAATTTAATAGAAGGCTCCTAGTATATTGTTTCAAAGGCAGATGAAAAAAATTAAAAATCCATAGTCACAATTTGTTTTTATAAGCATTTAATTTATCAAATTTAAAATTGAATAATTATTTTGTATTCAAAAATATATAAAATGTTCAACTTTTATATCTAAGGATTGAAAATTTAAAACAAGATTCCACGTAAGTAGTTTATTTTGTTACCAAAAAATCTAAAAAATACCTAACCTACATAAGCACAGTTTATTTTTATAGTCATTTTAAGTTCAAATTTGGACTTAATTACATATTAAGAACCTAGAATAACTATTTTAGTTATTTTGTTGTGATTGTATAATATTATTCGTAGGTAATTGAAACTTCTAAAGTATACTATTATATATATATTATAGAATCACGGTTTGTTGTTGATGTATAACAAGTTATAAGTACCTAATGGTTATTGTGATATGATTAATTTGGAACTTATTATAGGTACATTTTTTTTTTTTTAATACCTACCTAATCTCAGCTCAGAATCGTTTTTTTCATACAATGATATTTTATCATTGAATTAAAATTTAATACCATTCATTATACAGTGACCCACTTGTAACCTACTGTACAGCAGAGCACCTTTTTTTATGACTTTTAAAATATCGAAATCGAAATCCGTGAGAGTAGGATTTGAGTTACCTATTTAGCTTTGTTTACTATAAGAATAAATCTATGGTAAAAGGTTTGAAATATTCGGGGCCTATGATGATTTTAAAATTGTAGTCATTAATAATTAATATTGTCTAATATACTAACATTTAATAATTTGTAAAAATGTTAAGGATTATAATAAGCACTAAATTAAATAGCATTTATTTTTTTTTAATTATTCATAAGGATTATTATCTGTAGTATACACAGTTTATAAATCAGAAACTGCAGCTTGTTCAAATTTTGATATAGATACATAAAAATTTTAAAAAAAATTATGAAATCATCGTCTAAGTGATTTTTAGTAAAAGAAGGTTTGTTATCATTTTAAAGAAGATGTTTGAACACTCTTTAAAGGATATTAAAAAAATGTAAGTAGGTAGATAAACACGGCGAGACGTACTTTATATATCTCTATATATATAAATTGAGCGTGAAAATGTCATTATACCTCATCAATCGAGAAAAGCTGATCCGATTTGGCTCAAATTTTTTTTAAGATGTTCGTAATTGCCAGGAGAAAGTTTTTAAGAAAATTTTAAGAAAATCCACCGGAAAATTAGGAAATTTGGATGTAAAAAATACAACAGTGGCGCAACAGTGTATTATATATTAGTTGCTATTGGTTAATCGGGCATGTTTGTTGATGTGTATTTTTATTATTGTCAGTATATATATAATATATTATTATTATGTATATATATATATAAATGAATGTTTGTCTGTATATTAGACTTCTGGGAAGAAGACAGACTGTTTAAATGTTTGTTGATTTGTATTATTATTTTTTGTCAATATCTTTATATATATAATTCTACTGTAAGTGTGTTGTGACTGAACTCCACCTAAACGGTTTTACCGATTTGAATGAATTTTTTTGTATGCGTTTGGGTGGCGCCCCGGATAATTTAGATTCATAAATCATCCAACTAGGTCCAACCAGGGGATGTGATCAAATGGGGATTTACAGATTTACGGTGGAATTTTTTGTTTATAAAATATGGTCGCCATGGGTTTTAAAGCTATAATAATAATAATAATTGTCGCGAAATCGGTGTATTCATTCAATGCATTTAATTTTTTTGTACGCTGTGTTTTGATATGCAGATATGTATCGCAATTACGTAAATATTGAGTGTATTATACTCATATATAAATTACGTACATAAAACAATGACTCGTCTTCGTAGATGAGGAGGAAATATTGGTCGACCGACTCGGCATTGACAATTGATTAGTCCAGCCGTTTAGGAGGAGTTCAGTGACACACTTGGTATAACTTTGATACTTTAGAGTTAAGCTCTAAAGTTACGTCCAAAAAGCACGGAGTCCGAGATCTACCACAGGTAGATATTGCCTACCTGATAATGTACTGCTGCGAATCAGAATTTTTATGCCAGGCCACAGAAGAGTTAAGATAAATTTTGAACACCATACACCAAATATTATAAATAACGAATTGAACAGAGTTTGAGTCGTATAGAGTTGGTACATTTAACGGGAAACGAAGTGCACGGGATCAGCTAGTATATTATAATAATCGATTCCAATAAAATGTCTGTGTAATATATTATTAGATATTGTCAGCCGTTGTATCAAACTGTCAACAGAAATAATGAAATACCGGTACGAATAATCAAGGCAATATAATATTATTGTATGAATAATATTATATTTGGTTTTTATAACTTATGAGTCTTAAGTTAGGACCGTAACTTTTCATAACTATAACTCACAACACTTCAACATATATATATTACTGTATTATCAGAGATGAAAGTTTACCACAAAGTACTATACACATCGTGTATATACGGGTACCAGACAGCATTTAGGAAGATAACTTAATTTATAAAGGTCAATGGTGACTTAATTGAATTCGGCCCAAGTTGGTGCAAACATATTGCATTTCTCCGATCAATATACTATACCGCTTCTAGACGGTTTCCATTTAGCATTAATTCAATACTAATAATCATATAAAATTAATTAACCGTTTCAACAATTCCATACAAAATATCCCTACATATGCCTAAAATGGCTTCGAGCAATTTCTTGCTGCAGGGAATTCGACAATTTAAATAATTAATACGACGCGATGGAAAAAAATTTACGGTTATAAAACATATCCATTCGATTTTAAGTTGTTGAGTTGTTTTTTGTCAAAACAAGCATAAGACAATACAATTTTGTCCGAGTTATATTATTTAAGCACCAATTTTACAAATAATCATGAAATATATTATGTATTATATATTATTACCAAGCTAAACATTGAATACCCTATAGTTGCCTATTAACATGCTATTGTGTCAATATTATATGTTGCGCATAGTCTCGTTAATTGTTGAGCAATAATGTAACGATTGTTCATGATACCACAGCGAATACATTTATTGTTTGTTAACTCATTAATATACAATTATTGTACTAAAATATGCAATTGAATTGATTGTTTAACAAAAATGCAATTATGATTTTCGGGTAGTGCACACTAAAACCCATGTCAGGTATATACAATGTTTAAAACATTTAAAACTTCTGTTAACTAATAACCGTAAAATGTGTG